TCGAGAGCGCGCTACCAGGTAATGTGTGAATAAAAGGAAATAAATAATTCCTTCATCGCAACTGGTTTTCACATTCCTTCAACATTTCAAAATACAAACAATGTGAGCCCTGAGCATCCTGACGCTGCACCCTTGCTGACACCAGCGGCAGCTCCGAGTCCCTGAAAGCTGTGAGAAAAGGCATGCCACGCTTCAAAAAGGCTGCACTGAATTTATGGGCAGTCACGTCTTCCAAAGGAAAAAATGAACTGCATATTAATCTCCAGTTCTCAAAACTTCTCTTGCTCCCTTCCTAAATGATTCTAATGCTTACTAAAAAGGCAAAGTCCTGATAATCATCTTGTAATTCCCTCACTTCTGTATAAATTTCACTGTATTTGAATTCAGGCACTTTTTCCTAACATACACAATTAATAAGTCTTTTCTTGTTCTCTTCAGAACATTACTTTCATTTTTCTTCTCATTTAGAGATCTGCTGCAGTGCTCTGTGCTGCCTGAGATTTGCCCTTATTCCAAAGAATAAGCCTTTGCATATATATTGCATTGAGACGGAAAACGCTGTTATCGTTTCTGAAAAGAGCAGCTGAAGACAGAAGGACTCATCCCTGACAATGTGGAAAAAGAAGGCGATGCTGAAGCTTCTCAGTAGCACAAGGGTCTTCTCAGTAGCACAAGTACTACTTACTGATTTTGGGTTGGAGGACGATCTTTCTTATCACCCAAGCATCAAGTGTTTTGGTACCCACTAAAGATCTCCCTTCTGCATCATTAGAAACAAGTTCCTATGAAAGACACACAGGCTTATCTTCAAATGCCTAAACACTCTGACTGATCTAACCTTTAATCTTTGTGCCCCATTTCCTTTGCTGTTAAACCCTTCTGACTCTCTGCCCAAGACCCACAGGGTCTACCCAACCCTCTAAATCTACAAATTCCCTTTGGGTGCCATTAGGCACCCAAAGTAGGACAGAGACTTGTGCAAGTCTCCTGAATTTGTCTCATCTTCCCAGCCTTGAGCACCATTTGGAAGAATTGGTGGACACTGCCATGGATGAAAACAAGTTTTGAGTTTCCTAGAAGGACAAACACAAAGCCACTCTTACATGCAGAGGAGCTGAGGTGAGGCTCTAGGCTTCACAGCATCCACATGGTAACAGCACTTTGCAGGGGCAGTCACAAATTCATTACAGCACCCCGAAGTCTGAGAGCACAGATAAGAATTACCATCAGCTGAGAAGACCATCACCTTGGCTCTAGGTCCGTGGTCGAGTGCTGGGCTACTCTCCATACTTTCAATCAGGTCTTTTGGGTAACTACTCCTGAGGTCCGCTCAGGAAGGTCTTTCTTTTGCAGATGCCTTTCTGAGCTACTCCCATACATTGCTGTCATGGCCAGGAATAGTGCTGGTGCTCTGCTCTTCAATCTCCAGGGAACGGGAAGGACAGGAGAGAGCTTTCAAGAGACTCTAACAATCATCACAAACTAGAAGCTGGAGAAGTGGTTTTGCACTCAAAGTACCAAGCAGAGCTGACCATTTCAGCCCATTCCTCGTGCTACTTTAACGTGACGACTGTGAAATGAGAGCTGCACTTTTGTGCCTTTAAGGGAACTTCTGAGGCTGAACATAATAGGGAATGGAGAAAGGAACCAGACCTCCTGGATGAGAAACCCAGAAAGAAAAAGCTCTGAGCTTACCAACAGTGTACAGTAGCATAAGTGCATTTATGTATCCTGGTTTTGGAGTCCACTGTTACCCTTTTTTAAACCCACTGTGGCCTAGGGAGTAATACAAAACATACGCATGCCTAATACTGCCTTTCTCCAGAGCACAGACTATGTGCACTTAGCCAAAGCATTACAGAAGACAATCCACAGCTTGGAATTAATTACTGGAGCAAAATGTTAACGCATTTTCAACGAATTTAGGGACACTGTGAAATAAAATAAAACGAGTACAATGCCTTCTAAATAAAAGCAAAGCATTTGGCTGTTTATCCTTCATCGATGAAAACTTCTCCAGAATGAAAAAGCTTTTCTTTTTTTCCCTTATGATAATGACTAGAAGATGCAACAACAAACATGCAAGAACAATCACAAAATATATATGTCTGGACTTATGGAAAAATATTGTGAAAAGTGAATGTCAATCAACAAGGCTGAAAGAGAAACGAACTGAAAAACCCTTTGTGTTTCTCTCTCTCTTTCAGAAATCAAGAATACTGATGGTTGTGCAGAAGGTACACTGAATGCAGCGTGTGAACAGACTCTGTTTGTAGCCATCAAAAAGACCAAGAGCTTGGCAGATTAATCAAGCTACCAGAGAAACATGCCCGCTGGTGGATATGGCAGCATATGGGGAAGAAGCGTGTGTTCCAGACGGTGATGGGGAAGAAAGAGGTTTTTGGTAACTATGGCTGCTTATAGTCCTCTCGCTGATGGTCTTCTGTAGCAGCACACCTAACAGGTTCCACTAGCTTACTATGGGTGTCATTAATGACACTGAAATTTAGTTTACTATTAAAATAAAAAGGAATTACATTTTTTTTTTATTTAATAGAAAAGTCAAGGCTTATTAAAGATGACACTTATTTCTCTCAAAAGGTAGCAGTAGATCAGAAACACACTAAATGAGGTTTAAAGATTCCCATTAACTTCTCAAGTTTTTAATGACAATGCACAGACAAAATCCACTCTTAGAATTCTGAAAATAGATTAAAAAATTTGCATAAACTGGCAGAAGTCCCCTAACGCAGTATAAAAATTGTCCAAGACTATGGGTGGAGGGAGGGGTGGCAGGGGAGTGAAGAGAAAATCACCTAAATCTCGTGTTTTACAGTGAAAGATGCATCAGTGCACAACAGCACGTTGTCCTTCCCGCCTGGCAAGGCCACTACAGGAAGCAAGTTCCCACGTCAATGATGATCCCACCAGATCATGAGAGATTAACTTCTGGGATAGCTAATAAGCCTGTGTTAAGTAGTACCACGGCAGTAAAAAGTATTTGTTGCGGAGGCAGCTAAACTCCGTTCCATGTCTGCAGCTTATACCGTAGGCTGTATTACATACAGGGCACTGCAGGTACCAGTAAACCGCACCAGAGCCATTCTGCTGGATACAGCTCACACTCATCATCACGACATAATCATCGTGTGCACCACGTTTTTACCGTGCAACAAGCAGATTATGAATGACTTCTTTGCAAGCTATGTGAAGGAAGGTTGCTTTCCCCCACAGGAACCTAGCCATAGTTCATTATTTATGCTCACCTGAGAGCAAGGGTTGCTCCCAGCTGGAAGCAGAGCTGTGGAAAAGAGCCTCTGAAAAGCTGGGAACTTTGGCAAGTATCATGCATACGTGGTGCTGCTCTCTTCAGCCAATATAGCAGGGTTTTTACTAGAAACCTCCGTGCAATACCAAGCTGCTACTGCTCGACTTAGAGCCAAGCCCTCCTGCTGCTATACGAGTTTTAGATCTTCTGTGGATGTGACACAAACAGGGCTCCTGTAACACTCCCTCACCTGCAGTCAGCACTCCTTTGCTCAGCCCCGCAACGTGGATCAAAGCAAAACCGACACGACTGGCCCCAAAATGAGCGTTTTGTTTCACACCACTTGCAAGAGCCCATCAACAGCCAACCCAGGTGCTGTTTTCATTCTGCCCACACACAAATCAATGACAAAAAGCAAACTCATTCACACAGGTGGTGCATTTCACCACCCTAAAAGTCAGGATTTTCTCATACCCTTCATTTAATGCCACTGCTGTCAAATCCATAACATGTTGTAACAAAAACAGCCTTTATGTAACCTAATAAATAAAAGTCACCGAGGCAATAACTATGCATAAATTTTAGGTAAAAACATTTTATTAGAAGAACATGAATGTCCTCTGTAAAGCGGGTAGCATTTTAAAATAATGTTCTAGCCATTGTTAATACTTTATTGCTATTCATCATAGAACCATTAATCATGGTGAACTCATTTGGTATTAATGTGGATGTCATAAAGTACTTCTGTTGCATTTCAATTATAACTCAGCCTTTAAAATGCTGCCAGCACTACATGGAAAGCTTTGAAAACCAAATTTGAATAGTCTGTTCAGAGATAACTACAGTCACATTCTGGCACTGAGAAACAACCTTTGCCATTCCTAATGCCTACCCTCAAGGGGCTGAGGAGCCCGTGGGGCCGTGCCCTCAGCCAGGGCCGGGTGCAAGGAAGAGGGAGCCCAGTGGGAGGCTCCGGGGAAGCCGTGGCTGTCCAGACCCAGCCATTTTCCTCCCCCGAGATGATGGTAGGAGAAGCATTCCTTTGGGCTGCTTCAACCCCACTGGTTCAATCGTAGCTAAGCGGCAGCAAGGCCACACTTTCAGGCCCCTAAGGAGATTTCGTTTTTTCCTCTCACTCCTGTGATTCCCTAAGGCATCCAGAGCTGAGTGCTTTGGTTTTTTTCTCTGATGCATAGTGTCTGTCCAAACAAAAACACCAGAGAACATATATCTACAACTTAGTGTCTTTAGAGACAGCAAAGGAGTATGCAACACATCAGAGCGGACCTAAGGAAGCGAACACCCTGACCTCTCTGATGACAGTTTAAAAAACAAACAAACAAACAAAAACCACAACAAAAAACCAAACAAACTCTGGCCTCAAGAGGCACTGAAAGAGGAAAACTGGCAGCACAAAATGCAACATGGACCTAAACAACTATCAGCTCCTTGCCATCAGGGAAGCCAGGAACTTGTGTTACCTCGACAAACCAGGATTTTTGTTCCCTCACTGCCAGCAGAGCTTCCATCAGCATTTTACATACAGAATCAAACGACAACGGCGCAACAATCATAACGCTTCTCATCAGAAACCATGTTAAATGGAGAAAAGACAAAATACTTATTAGCTAAGGGAACTTTTTTTTTTTTTTTTTAATTCTTGCATATAATTTCCATTCTATTTTATTTAGGTCATCAATGTAACATGTAAGCACACAGCAGAAATTCCTACCTTGGGAGCTCTGGCATGTTTTCCACATCTGGCATCTTTGACAAGGCTGATATCCAGCAGCTCAGTCTCCTAGAAGGAAAAATTGCAACACAGATAATTATTACATTAGTCAAAAAGTCCTGTTGTGTTAACGGTGCCCCACTTCCCACATCTGTCAGGGGTTTGCCTGTTTGCAATGACGCCTGTCCGAACTGGGAACAATTTCAAGGAGTGCTCTGTTGCACTTAAGCTATTCTAATAGCACTACTAAGACCTTAGACACATAACTTGGTTTCCTTAAAAATGTGCAGGTGTCTTATGATATACAGAATATATAGAAGCCATCAAGCTTATTTCCTGGATCATTAAATACCAGCTGCTGTGCTTTTTTTTTTTCTTTTTAATAAAATTTTAGCATTTTGATGCTAGTCACAACGTGAAAAAGGCGACGTTACAAACAGAAAACCCTGCCTCTGCAATAGAAAACCTACTTTATTATTGCCAGAACATTTTGAGAAGTACACATAAAACCCAAAAAGTGTTATATCTACAATGCTAACAGGTTCAACAATTTTAATGACTACTGCTCAGTAAAAACCGTGTACTTCTGTCAAGCATTTCATAGTTCATACGTTACTCTCGAGTTGTGGGTTATACAACACATGCCGTACTTGGAACAAAACAGGCATGTGATGACAGCTCCTGTTAGGCAAATTCCTGTCCTCCCCTACACACATATAACATGAAGAACCTCCTTTCACTGATAACCTCTTGGCTCTCCACCCTCCTTGCCAGTGCCTGGCAGCATGGGAAGGATGAAGGATGAGGGCTGAGCTGAGCCCACGGTGCCCGGGGTGCGCCTGCCACTGCCAGCCCAGCGGGGCACCCACCCCTCCAGGACCAGCATGGAGCATTCACCTCTCCAAACACGCAGCAAATTCTAGCCTTCAGCCAACATAACTTTCCCCAATCTCATCCTGTGACAGGGCATTTTGGGATGTTGCCATGTTGGTTCTTTCTTGAATGCCTTAACATTTATGGGCAGGGAGCATTTGGAAGGAGGAAGGACGCTGCAGACCGGAGCAGCGCGATTCCCAGCTGCCGTCTCCCTCATGAGCACACACATCCGTGCGGCATTACGCGTGTTTTGCCGGGAGCAACCCCAACTGTCCTGCGAGACACGGCGAGAACATCTGACCTGAGTTAGCATTACTTGACAATCTTAAAGCACATCTTAATATTGTCTGCCTCATTTATACTAGCATTTGGACTAATAGCCCATGTTAGCATGGCTCAGTTATGTACTTTGCAATTAAAGCTACACCAGTTCAATGCATTTCAGCCTTCCAGTAGTAATTGCAAATAGCGTGTGGAGAATTTGAAATCTGTGCTGGACAAAGCCACTACTTTATTTTTAACTCCAAGGAGGAAAAAAAAAAAAAAAAAATTTCTCATGGACATGTTGTTTTGCCACAGGTTACTTTGTATCCTTATTTCTTTTCCATTTTAAGGGACCCACTCCTGCACAGCTTTTGTAGACCTTTATTGTCTACTAAGACATTAGTTCTACCACTAAATTTTCATGGGACTGGACATTGATCACATTCGCCTCTGTCCCCCATATCAATCCCAGTACTTGCACAAGCATTTTTTTTTCCCCTCTTCATCTAGCCTGTTCAGGGGAAACTTGGACTTTGGATATCTTTATTGTTTGCTCTTACTTGCCTGAAAGAGGTATCAAAACTTGCAGGGATTAGAAAGTATATAGGTAAGGTCATAAAAGGTGATATTTTGTAAATCTGCTTAGGAAATAACCCAAACTACGCCAATACACAAGGGCATATGGACACAAGCACTCTTCCAACAGCGCTGCAGCCTCTCACATGGACAGCTGATTGCTGTATATAAAAGCTTCTCTACAGCTGTCCCTGTTCCAGCTGAAGGAGCACCTGATGGTTTGTGAACCCAACTTTCAAGTCCAGTTTGAAGCTGATCTTACTTCCAGATTTAAGCTACATTAATCCTTGTCCTGCCCGACATGAGCACAACTGACACCAGGAGTTAATGCAAAGCTCAGTACTGAGTGCAGGAAAGCCCTTAATGCACCAACGTCTGGGTAATCTCACTATTCAATGAGACAACGGCATCAGGAATATCTAAAAATTGCAGAGGACAGCAAGCACTAGCTCTCCATCTCCCAACGCAACTGGTCTCTGGGCCTGGATGGGCCCAGCTCCTCACCAAGGGGAAACAGTTGCAAGGGGAAAAAGCAATGCTGATTTTTACCAGCCACAGATCTGTCCCTGAGTTTTATGACAACATTCTGACATTCATATCATTTCTCTCTCAGTGGAATTTATGTCTCGAGTCCCAGTGATGTTGGAGTAGTGCAAATATGTCTCCATGTATTTTATTTCTTCTGAAATCTAGTCCATGCCACATTTGCATCTCAAAATGCAGCACGATACTCCCAGTGCTCATGCAGATGCTACAAATTATTTGTCAATTAAAACAGAATTTGTTCCCCCTCCCTTTTATTTTAAAGAAGGGAATGACTCTGTTACTCTCTCAAGTTGCTCCTGTGAAACATGACAGTGCCAATTACATCACGTTACCACCTGGGATATACCAGCAGTGGAAGGCAAATTTGCTGCTCAACACAGGGAAAAAAAATATAGATATAGATATATAAATAAAACAACCAGAAAGAAAAGAGCCAAAGAAGCATTATTAAATAGCTACAAGTGCAGGTACGGCAGCAGCTGCTACTTTAAATAAAATGAAAATGGCACGCTGGAGGGCTTATCTTTGAGTTAATGCATGCGGCCATTTAGATACTGGCAGAAGTGAAAATAATGAAATACTGCAGAGCTGCATTCGGGTTTATCACACTCGGAGCAAGAACTGAGGCAGGAAACAGGAGAGTCACGACATAATTACAGAGAGAAGGAAACCAGACAACACTGCAAAAAAGGCAAAAAATTGAAAAGAAAGCCAGGGCTGAGAGCCAGCATATTCCATGAGCATCAAGCCACGGGAAGCCAAGGCAGGGCAGAGACAGGCTGAAAGTCCATCAGCAGAAACCACACAGAGCAAACGTGCAGAGCCAAGCACGGAGACGACGGCACTTCGGATTTACGGACCACGTGCTCAGCAAGGGTGGACATGCCCAGGTTTGCTGTTATCGGACAAGAACATGGCCTTTGGGGTGAGAGGCCAGGGGTTATATTTACCACAACAATTAATGCTCGCGCCCCGAAGCAGTATCCAGCCCACTGTGAAATGTTCTACAGAAGCTACGGGCACATGCAGAGCATGTCATAAAAAATAAGATTTTGCCAACTGAAAGGACTGACAAGTACTAAAAATAAAGGCTTTAACAGCAAACACATGAGAGAAATGAAAGATGGTGAAGAAAAATGGATCTTAAACAAAGATGCTGAGCCACACACAGAGTGAAGAAGTTTTTTTGGTTGGATCGGTCTGGCATTTTAGCTTTTAAGAAAAAACAACAAACAGAATTAATCATTTCTTCACTTAGAAAAGTGCAACTGGACCTCCCATAACACAAACACAAAAGACCCTTTTAAATGGAATGACACACATTAGAAAAAGACACAGCAAAGGAAGGTCAGTACAAGGAACCTGAACAACCCTTCTCGGCTCTGCAACCTCCCAGATGGAGGAGGATGAGGAGGTATAGGGTTGTTTTGGAGTTTCGACTACTACTTTCAAGCTGCTTGCATGCCACCAAGCCGCATGCAGAAGATGTGATAGCCTGAGGATCCAAGACCTAGCAAGGACAGTCTAAGAAGAATAGGGATAAGTGGAGTTTTGTGGGGCTACTTTGACAAGACCAACTGGCATGGCTGTAGGAAAGGTTGACCCCTGAACATCCATCTTAGGGCCTTGCTGCACTGTTCCCTCTTTGCTGTGCTGCCTCTCTGACACAGAAAGCAGGTTTTATAATCCTACCCCTATATTCCTTTATATCCCTATTTTACAAGACCATTTAATTTGAGGGGATTCTCTCCTAGGCGATAATTATAGAAGCCACAGGAAAACAAAGTCCAAAGTCTCTGCCACCATCCGATATCAGAAAGGAATGGTCCAGATTCCATAAACACATTTTATATGTATGTTCAGGTCAGCAGAAGCAATAGCCTGGTAGATGCTATAGCCCATGCTCTAAATGAAGTAGATGAGAGCAGGTTATGCATCCATTTAAGTGCCTCTGCAGGCAGCACTCAGCGGGGCTTAGATAAATCAGAATTCATAATGTGCCATTTCTTAGAAGTTCTTTGCTTCAAAAATACCAAACCTCCTGGAATTCCTTGACCCCTGGGCACTCGCTTTCATCTTTCAAACAACTAATTAAGAGGACAGAGAGCAACTTCCTCCCAAAGGAGAGAAAAGACAATTTCCTATTTCCCTATTGCAAAATGTGGACAGACTTTTGTAACGGGAAAATACATTTCAGTACTGGACAGAAAAATGCCCCATTTCCTGTGCAGCAAAACAGCCCAAACCCTCCTCTGCTTAAGTCAACAGGAGTTGTGCTACTGACTTCCTCCGTGCAGGCTTGGAAACTGCGCTCTGTGCTGGACGAGGCACGAAAGCCATAGCAACTGGGGAAAAAAAAAAAAAAACCACAATCCAAAACGTCTGAAAGTCCAACTTTTCCCTGCTTAGAGACCTCCAGTTATTGCTGTTGGGCCTTGCAATAGAGTAACATCTCTTAATGCAACTGGTAGATTCCTCCAGTAATTTATAATACAGAAATTCCGGAGAATTGAATTATTAATCCTACCGTGTTTGTTTTCAATTAGCAGCTGAGACAGACGCATTCATATAGGGTTAGATTGTGCAATCTCACTTTCATGGGTGAGCACGCACTCACAAAAGCAATAGATTGTGCAACCCTCAGTGACTGCTTGAGCACTTATAATGAGGCCCGTCTGAATTTAATATAGTAACACCAATTTATACCAGCTGAGGATCTGGCTCACTCCTATATTAAACTGCCCAAAATGATGCCAAGTTGATGGCAGTGTCTTGGGAACTTGCTCATGACGTAACCCCAGCTACAA